GGATAGGATGAAGCTGAGTACACCAGACAAGAGAGATGTTTTGGAGCAGGCTAAACTTGGGGCAAGGCAGAGAAGGCAGAGGTCCAGGGGAGCTTGGAGTTGGAGCATATCCAGTTTACAGAGGAGAGAATGAGGCCCTAGGCCAGGCCAGAACCTGACTGATAAAGGAGAGCTAGACCAGGCAAAAAGAGTCACACAACAGCAGCTCAGAGATAAGGTAGACATGAGAACAATGTTCTGTTTATAGATCTCAGGTACCCAGTTGTGATTCTTGGGATTGGATGCCCCGATTGTCAGTTTCATGTTCTTGTCCCCCCACTACCACAAGCCCTCTGCCCCCTTGCTACCCCACCCCACAGAAAGACCATGATGATTGAGGCCACTCTGCTGGTCCAATCCCAGCTGATGGAGCTGGGAATTAATGTTATTTGGTTGGGTTGAAAGGGGTTGGCAATGAACTTCAGCTATGGAGAAATGCAAGTGGGGCAATCAAAGCTCTGTGACGGCCGAGAGTAAATAGATTCTTCAGACACACAAGGGAAAGAGGTGATGGCGGTTGAGGCTTGAGAAAGGTGTCTGGCTCATACCCCACCTAACTCCTCACAGAAACCCAAAGTCAGTGTATCTGAAGATAGTCTAGGAAAAAGAGACAACTAGTGAAAAACCGAAGTAATTGGGATTGTTTCTTTTGAAGAACAGGCATATTTAAAGGCCTTGATTCTACAAATGGCAGGCTTAAAAGATAGAGCAGTGCTAATTCAGTATAGACATGAGCAAATGTCCTGGCAAGTAGTTTGTCCAAGGTAGAGAAGGACTCTCTTCCCCTTCCATGACAGTCTTTCAAAGTAGGGTGTACAGTGTGCTCCTCTTCCTTTGGTTTTGGATTAGGAGCTCTTCTATTAAGAAGTAGGTGGCTGAATCAAGTGATCTCTTATAGATTGCAACAAGCTCCTGGCAGAGACATCACAAGGGACCTTCTCAAGATCACTGAGTCCCATCGCAGGTCTGCATGGGTACCTGAGATTCTGAGAGGAATGTGGAAATGAGTTTTGGCACCTGGTGCAACCCCAGGCCTTTCTCCACCCACATCCCATCTACTTCCTACCCACATCCCCCCACCCCACTTCCCCTACTCCTAATCTCCCCTAGTCCCTTGCTGACCAAGTGCAGTCTGAGGCCTTCCAGAGCCCTTGCCTAATTCCCTCACACATCCCTTTCCTGACGGCACTTGAGAAGGGCAGCCTAGTTGGGCGGGCAGAGCGCCAGCCATGAAGACTGTCCAGGGCTGTAGATCTAGTCTTATCTCCTTTGCTATCTCACATAGGGATACTGGGGAGGATGCTTTCCTTCTCCAGGCCCAGCTTTCCTCCAGTGGCAGGAAACACAGCAGGATTAGGTGATTTAGACCTCTAGTCCTACCCAAAGGTCTTTAACCTCTCCTTGAAGCCTTTGTTCTGGTCCTTGCTTTTATTTCATTTTCCCCCAACCTGAACATCTTTATCTGGGCCCTGGGTCACTGTCTTTTGTCATCAATGAGGATTATGAATAGTTTGTGATTTGGGGCTAGAAACTTACTCTGGACCCTCTTTTCCTTCCTCATTCTCTAAAATAAACACGCCTCCTTTGACATTCCCTCTTGAAACTTTGACCTCTAATGTAGACCATAATGGTTAGCCTTTTTCTTTGAGTACTTCCTAGAGAACCAGGATTCTGCCCTCCCAAGTCAGCAGGAGCCAGGCTATCTGCTTTATCATTCTAAGGAAGGTCTTTGCAAATCAAAAGTTAGGTTTCTTCATTCTGGAGAAGGGCTGGGAAATCTGACTCTCTGACTTGCAGGAGTGGGAGGAGAGGACACCTTTCATTGCATATGAATGGTAGTCATTCAACAAAACTGTCATGATGGTTAAGAATGTTGCCAGAGGTCGCTGGGCTCCCAGAGTGTAAGTGGTGTGAAAGAAAGAGTGTGGATTTATGAGGTGGCAGGCCTGAATTCAAATCCACTCCCTGTATTTAACTTGAGGTTGCAGTGCCTAACCTCTCTGAGCCACAGTTTCCTCAGTAGTAGAGGAATAACTGTAGCTCTTTAATTGGATTGTTCTGAGAATTGAAGCAGATGATATTTATGAAACACCTTACAATTAGTAGGTGCTCAATTACGTCCCTCCACTCTAGTTCTCCCAACCCCTTATGAACATGCACCAGCAAGCCTGAGTAGATTGGCAGGGAACCACAGGAGACCCGGGGTTTTCTTAGAAGTCCCTAATTCTGCCTACATCACAGTTCAGATGGGAAGAAGAAGGAAGAAGAGAAGAAGGCGAGGGAGAAAAAGCTGTGTCGGGGCCTCACAAGCATATTTTCCTTTCTAATCTAGACTGAGAAAATAAAGAATTCTATTCTCCAGGGGAAGCTATGTAGTACCTGGATTTGCTGAGCTACGGAAATGGGCTCATGGACAGGTGTTCCTCGTTGAGGTGATCCCTCTTTCAGCAGGTTTGCAAGATCCGCCCCAGATTGTGGCCAATCTGTCTTTCCTGGGCCCTGAACCTATCGAACATGGGAGTTTTACTGTTCTGTCACCTTAACGATAGCCAGCTTGTTAAGGATGAACCAAAAGGGAAGGGTGTAGGGTTGTAACTAATGAATCTGAATGAAGCTGTATTGCCGTGGAATGAATCCCTGACTGCAAGGTGATGGATGTAGAGAAACCCAAATTCCTTTAATTTCTGGTCCAGGGTCCATGTAGGAAGATTGGTTGGTGTGATTGATTGCTCTGAAGGTAAGATGGATGAGGACCAAAGAGGCTGGAAGGGGAAGAGACTAGGAGACTATGAGCTTTTTGGGGAATTAGGCAAACTTTTAATGGAATTCCCGCTGTTCTGGGCTTTCTTAGTGAAAACTCTGATACAATCCCACCGTAAACACAAGGCTTGTTGTCTTGGAATGAGCATTTGAACAGGGCAGCAGGGGTGGTTTTTTCCTGAAAATCTCCTCTAAGATTATTTGGGTATGTCCGCAGGGTCCTGAGGACAATGTCAAAGCATCAGGTGCCTGGACTCTTTGGGTGGAGAGTCAGTTAAGATCCGCAGGGAGAAAATTCAGTCTGTTCATTTCCCTAGCATGGTGTCACAACTAAAGTTTCAAAGTGAGCACTTTGACATCTATATTTATTGAGGGTTTAAGCTCAGGGCCAGATAATTTTATGTTTTTGTTTTTTCTCTGAGCCCCAGGGAAATAATCTTTTCTTTTGGTTGCCTATTTCTTTACCACAATTTTTGCCCTTAAATCGTGTTTCTTCCATTCCTCCCTCCATGACCATCCACAGGTGCACACCACACACTCTTTCTTCCTTTGTCACTGCAGGAGTGTGTTTTTTTAACTTCTTTTGAAGGAAGAACATAGAGGAAACCTTCCATTTCCTTGACTTAGGTTGACCTTTACGATTTTCTCATTGTCTCTGTTCTTTAACATCTGTGGTAGTTTTATTATTTTTATTTTTTATTTTTTTGAGACAGAGTCTTGCTCTGTTGCCCCAGGTAGAGTGCAGTGGTGTTGTTGTAGCTCACTGCAACCTCAAACTCCTGGGCTCGTGTGATCCTCCTGCCTCAATCTCCCAGAGTGCTAGGATTACAGGTGTGAGCCACTGCACCCAGCCTCTGTGGTAGTTTTATTTTATTTTTCCAAGAAAGCAGGAGGTAGAAGTGGTAGTTTTAAATGCACTAGAATTTATAGAGACCAGAGTTAACTTTCAAGGCATCTGACTATGGTTTCTTTTGAGATGCCAACTTTCCTAATGAACATTTATCTTCCTTTACACTAAAAGAAAAAAAAAAACAAAACCACATTAATTCTTTCGGAGGACAAAAATATTTATTGTAGACAAATGTAAAAATACAGAAAAACAAAAAAGGAAAATAAACCACTCTATTTTGGCATTACATGATGGCAAATATTCTTATATTTTTTAAAACAAAATTGGATTAATCCTGAATATGCTGTTTTGCAATCAACTTTGTTCATTTAATTATGTGTTTTCTATGATACTATTTCTCAAGAATATTATTTTAGTGGTTAATATTCCACTCTAATGTTGTGATTTAACTAGTTTATCCTATCATTGAACATTTAAATTGTTTTCTAATTTAAAACAGTAAACTGTGGGTGTCTCCCCATTCTTGGTGATCATTTTACTTGTTTATTCAACATACCTCCTCTCTGCAGGGTGCTGGGCCTAGCAGACAGGGGAGAGTCCCCAGGCTGAGATATTCAAAGTTAGGAGACCAGTGGCTGAGCCCCCTGGCTCTCTTTATGGGAAACTACCCCTCCTCCAAGGATTACCACTGGAAAATGTAGAAGTGCAAATGGAGGAAGGTAGAATCCACAACTCTCCTAGTCTCTTGCCCTGGGGCCCATGTCTTAGTGTACAGACACCCCAGGAAGCCCAAGTTAAGAGAGCAAACACACTTTGAATATGGTCCAAGTTCAAAGAGCTTCCTTATTCCCCAAGTTGCTTAGGTTGCATTAAAATAACACCTTCTATATCTGGGAGTATACATTGTTTTCCTATTGGCCAGTGTCTGGGTCTCAACTTTATTAACTGTCAAACATTAAAAATCAAGGGGGTTGGATATTTCTTAACCCCCCTCAAAATGAAGTTGAGTTCCCAATCTGGAAAAATAACAAAACTGTGTCATGTTATAGCTCTCTGGGGGAAATCCCTCTTGTGGGACCTCTGGATAAGTCTTAGTCACCTGTCCACTTGCTGTGACCATTCCCTTTCCATGTCTCCAGAGATGGTTTATGAGCTGGAAAAGTCCTCAGGTTATGTTGGGTCCTGGTTTCTCCAGTCCTGGGTGGGGAGAACTTTTCAAAAGTTCATACTCAGGTGAAAAATCTAATGTCTAACACTCTAAAACCCTCCCAATAGGCAGATATGTGGTCTCTGCCTCATTTATCTGCATGGATTTGTAGTTAGTCTTTCTGGAGCTAGCCAGAATGGGGTAAGGTTGCTCCTTCATGCGTTTGAACAGAATTCTTTCATTTTTTTGCTTCTATTCTCTCTCATTCCCAGTAGCACAGCTGAGTTGGACATGGTCTGAAACTTAAAGGATCAAATACTTTGAAGGTCCCTCTAGATATGAACCCCAAACCAAATACCCCCTTTAGCAAGCTGCTTAAGTACAGGAACAAAGACCAGAAATTAACTTGCAGAAAAGATTAAATGGGGTCTGTCCAAGTCAGGAGGCCCAGGTTCCAATTTCAGGTCTGCCAAGAATATGCTATATAATCTTGGGCCTTCGTTTTCCCACACATAGCAGATAGGAGGATTACAGGCCAACCCTGTGATTTTCCAATTGTTTCCCAATCTACTCTCTCCAAAAGAGAAGTCGTGTCCCCTTCCACTGACACGCAGCTGATCAAGTGAGTTTGTGTGGGGTGTTATCGGGTGCTTCCCTTAGCCAGGGCATCACCAGGGGAGCGTGTGCAGTAGTACTTGTTTACCACGTGCCTACACTGGTCACACTTGACTGTGCAACACCACTGGAATTTGCAGTTACAGCTGCTCGTGGCCTCAGTTCTCCTCTCTTCCACCTGCAGCCCACACTCGGTGCACAGGCGCCCACAGCTACGTTGTTCCCACCTAGATGTGTTGTGGCTGTTCTGCAGGCACTCGCGACCCTCTGTGCCGTAGATGCCCAGGCTGGAATTGCGGGTACAGTAATCTGGTGATTCTTCCAAAAAGATCAGCTCAGCCTCTGCGCTAGGAAGGAAGGCCTCTGTGGGTGCCCAGCGGCCCTCGGCACTGTTCCCCGCTCTCAGCCGCCGCTTATCCATCTCAATTTTTAGCGCCCGTTCATACTTGGCCTTTAGGTAGTCTCCCATCTCCCGGAAGTCAGCCAGCTGCAGCCAGCACGTCTGGATGCTGCAGCTCCCCGAGATGCCGTGACACTTGCAGGTCCTCTTCATGGTGGCTCTCACTGCCTTCACAGAGAGAGAACACAAAAGAAAGAATGGCTCTGGGTAAGGGAGACCAAAGGCTAGCGATTAAATGGAATATTTTAGAGCTGTGCTTTTTGACTTTGAAGGAGCAGCAGAATTATTGGGGAAGCCTATGAAAAATACTTATTCCTGGACCCTACCTCAGATCTGCTCAGTGAGAATGTTCAGGGGGTTAAGGGCCTGCTCCTGGAGATTGTAAAGCTTCCCTGGGTGATTGCGATGGAGAGCCAAGCAAGTGTCGAGAAAGGGACTGGGGTCTGGAAACCTAGGCTCCAGGCCCGACTCCATCACTTACTGAGCTTGTTTCTCTATCTGCCCAATTGGAATAAGAATTGAAAAAAATAATGATCCAGGAAGTACTTTGTAAATTATAAAGGAAAATATGATCATTGCCACTGTTACTGTCTTGAAGCTGGGAACTAGAGTATTTGTGGGGGTTTGGATTTGTCCTTTGGCCCCTCCTCAAAGGGGAGGAAGCTCCTTGAGACTGAACCTCTATATCCCCCAGGCAATTAATTACTCATGGTTATATTTGCCTAAAAAGCCTCTTCACCTTTCGGTGGGCAACCAGGACATCTAGGTATAGATTCACAGGGAAATTTCTATGCTCTTGGCTCTAAATCCAACTTGCTTCCAGATTTGAGTTCAGAATACTCCAGAGATTGCCACCCCACCAGAAGTCTTAGGGGAGAACAGACACTCCAGAGAAGCCTAGATTGGTCCCAAATCCTCACAGCCCAGACAGACTTTAGGACACAAGACTAGACAATAAATCCCTATAAATTTCCAAGAACATGCAGTTGAAGTAATTAAAAATTTAAGTCTTGGAAGCATGGCCTTGATTCTGTATTGTTCTGTGTTCTCAGAAAGCCAGTGGTAGGGCACAGCTTAAGATTTAGAGATAAGAGAACTAGACTATAAAGATCTGAATTCATTGCCTTTTCTGACACGTATTAGTTGTTAATTGCCTTGGACAAGCCACTTGGCTCAGACTTAACTGGCTTTGTTATGCAGAGAATTGGGGCAGCTGTCTCAGACCTGTTGGGTGTGAGGATAAAACATAGGTAGGAGATAGCTCTTGGTGAGTTGAGAAGGGCTGTGCAGATGTGAAGCTGTTGCCACCACCGGCCAACTCCTATACCCACCAGCCTGCCGGCCCTGTTGTTGTGAAGATTCATCAGGGCTCTGGCATCCTTCCCCTTCTCCAAACTGTCCACAAAGAGTTTGGAGATCCTTTCCCCAAATTCCACATTGTCGCTGCAGCCTCCCCAGATCCAGCCATGGCCTCCTACACATAAGGAAAGAATAAGTTCTGCATACAGCTCCCTGCGAAGTCCCAGGAGAAGAGATTTTTTGGCTTACACAGCCAAGCCATCCCCAAGAGCCCTCGGGGTGTAAAGCTATTGTTCAAGGTGAGACAGGGAAATGGAGGTTCATGGGGTGGGAGAGAGGGAAGTCCTGTTCCCAAAGCCACTGCCCACCCTGTATGCACTTCCCAGCTCTAGGCAGTCTTCGATACCCACAGTATAAGTAGACACACTGGGGTTAGACTTGATGATCTTAAAGGTTCATTATAGCTCAAACATTCTGGAATTCTGCACCATTATTCTACAATAGTCTTTTTTCTTTTTATTTTCTTTCTTTCTTTCTTTCTTTTTTTTTTGAGACCAGGTCTTGCTCTGTTGCCTGGGCTAGAGTGGTACCTCAGCCTTCCCAGTAGCTGGGACTATGGCATGTGCCAACACATGTGTCTAGTTTTTCTACTGTTTTTAGAGATAGGATCTTGCAATGTTGCTCAGGCTGGTCTGAAACTCCTGGCCTCAAGCAATCCTTGCCTTGGCCCCCCAAAGTGCTAGGATTATAGATGTGCACCACCATGCCTGGCCTCTACAATAGTCTTATTAGAGCCACCTCCTCCCTCATTAGTGGTAAATTTGTATGTCTTGTAGGTGGTCTATAAATTGTTGAGTAGCTCTGGATTATGGATGAGCCATTCCAAACCTGGAATACCAAAGCTAGCTTTAAACTCTCTTTGGCCTTCCCATTCCTAGTCACCTGGTTAGTTTTAGAGTTTCTTGCTAATCCCTGGACTCATGGACCCAGGCTCAATGGTTAGGAGAGTCTAGGTCCAGGATATCCCACAACTGAAGGAGCTGTTGGAGTCTAGGGGTTTGAGGGAACCATGTCCCTCAGACTTTCCCTGAAAGACTTTAGTCTGCACTCAGCTCTGCAGCCCCTCACCTCTTCCCATCCCAATCAGAAAGTCCAACTTACCTGTTTTTCCATTTTTTGATTCATCACAGCCACAGTTTTCAAAGTCGCCCATGCTACAGTTCTTGGTGATGGTGTGCATGACTCCAGCGGAGCTGATAGCATGAATGAAGGAAGTCTCTCTGGTGGCTTTGGAGAGAAAGAGGGCACTGAATGGAAACTGGGACCCTGACGACCCAAAGCAGAGGCTTTGGAACAACAATGCTGTTTCTCTCCCCTGTCCCCCACCTCCTTTGGGTTTAAGAGGCTGCTCTTCTACTTGAGAAAACAATGCATATCTTTCCAGCCTCTTTACCAGACAGGAATGAGCATTCCCATGCAACAGGTGGGGAAAGTAAAACCCAGACATAGAATAATGAGACCGCCACTCTCCATCTGTGGTGCTGCGATTAGGACCCTGCTCCCCTGGAGTCCAGTCTAAACCTCTATCCCCTAGCCGCTGCTGCTGGGCCTCAGGCAGTGAGACTCGGGCCATGAGGCTGGCTTAGGAAAGAGAGAAAAACATTTTCTTCGTTCTGACCACGAAGCTAGGCCGTGTAATAGTCATAATGATCATGGCTGCTACTTACTGAGCTCTTACCTTACTGTTCTTTACAAACATTGTCATATTTCATTTCCTCATACTCTCTATTCTATTTGTATATGCCATGATAAGGTATTTCTTTCTGTCCCCATCTTCTTTACTCTCTTCCCCCCAGCTCTTCTCAGGCAACACTCTATTGTTTTTTCAAAAATAACTTTTATGCAAACTACTGCACACAGTTACAAAAGGCCGCATGGGTGCACGTCCATGCACAGCTGCACACACACACACACACACACACCCCACCTGAGGCACAGCTCAATGTGATCTTTCAGCCTTTCTGTTCTTTTATGACAGCTGACAGATGTGAAACTGCAAACACAGACCTTTACTCATTTTTATTTCATGCAAATCAGTGCAAAACAAGCATGTACAAACACACAAATCCAGGCATGTGTTAAAAAAAATAGAGTGATTTCTTATATTTGTATAGAGACAGTTCGGATCCACCTCATTCAACCCATAGAATACTTCCGGTGAGCTAAGTGGAGCTGGAGACTGATCCAAATGACAAATCTGTGGTTGAGGGAGGGGAAGTCATTCATTCAAGGTCACACAGCAAGGAAGTGGCAGGTCAGCAGATCACTGGTAACGTTTTCATCTCACTGCACATATACATGCCACACATACACAGGTGCTACAAGCACATACACCCTCTCACACAGGTGTGTATCCCACACGAACTTACCGCTTCTCAGCCTGTTGTGGGTGGAGAGCTGGAGAGCATTTTCAGGGCAGTTCCAGCGTTCCCAAGCAAACTGGAACTTACACTCCTCGATGCCACTCTGGGCACCCAAAGCCACACTAGTGGTGTAGGTCAGATAAGCCTGGCGAGGGGAAAAGCGCTGTGAGCTTCCACCTGACACGGGTCATCTGGGGTGTGGGGAGCAGGCAGGACTCAAATGGGCTGGGCAAGGGGGTTCTGGCACTGTCTCCCCTCCCCCCTTTTCTTCTCCGTTAGCGTCCCCTTAGGACCCTGAGGGTAAAAACAGGAGCTGGAGACCATCCTACCTTGGGACCTGTTATCAGGAAATTGTTCACTGACCTACAGGAAAGAGAACAAGTGAGGCAGAGGTGAATGGGGATGAGACAGAGGGCCTTCCTTGGCGGGGAGGGCGGGCAGGGAGGACTCACCAGGCAGAGGCACTGAGTGTGGCACAGCACATGCCCACAGCCACCCAGAGCACGAGCAGGTCCCCCATGGCCCCCCACCCCCAGGGGGCCAGCTCCAGCTCAGGGCCAAGTCCAGAGAAGTGAGGAGAGGGCAGGGTCTTTCTCAGTATTTATGGGGAAAAATTCTGAATGGCCAAGGGGGAAAAATCAACAGCTCTTCTCATTTGCTAGGCACAGGCAGGGCTGCAGGAGTCACTGACCCAGTGGGGGATCTGGAGGAGGGATCAGCCCAAACCTTCAAGGAAAGCCCCGCCCTGCCCAGCCTGGCCAGCTCTTCCCTCCCAGACCGAGAGGGCCGAAGCTTTTCTCCGACCCTTCAGGTTTGTTTCCTCTGTAAGTCAATTTTGCCTGTTCCTGCTTGAGGGCCCATTTCTCAGAGTCCTGTAGGCTGGAGCAGGCTAGGTCCTTCAGCCTGAAGGCAGGTTGCCTATTCCTGGAGCTACAGTGTCCTCATCTGTCAATAAGACCCCACTCTTCGCCCTGCCTTCCTCCCCAAAGTGTTAGTAATCACAGAGGAACTCCACTGGGGGACCCCTCCCTCTCATTTACCTGAACAAGTGAGTGCACCTTTGTCCCTACCTGCTCCCTTGCTAGCTGTAAGCTAATGGAATTGGGGGGCCACGAGCAGAAACACTTCAGAGCCCTTCTCTGCAACAAGCCCTTCCACACATTCTGTTAACAGCAAAGCAAGTTCTGCTAAATTTCCTTCATTCCCAATAGGTCTATCCTTCTGTATCTAAAGGTGAGATCTCCAGTTTGTTAATTTCTTATACACCTGGGAATCAACCTTTGGGCTATATTTGAAAAGACAATGCCTTCTTTCTTGATACCACTTTGTTACTAAGACTTCAGCTTCTTAGGCAGGAATCTTTTGGATTCACTTTGTGCTTAAGAAGGCACCTGATGAATGAACAAATGAATGAGTGAAAGAACTTGTGCCCTTCCTAGGCACTGCTAGGTAGGGTTGGGGACTACAGTGAAGTGGGTGGGAGTCTTTCTTGGTTGGTGAAGCTCTTTCCTAGGGCTGGGGAAGGAAGGCTAGCGAAGTTACGAGGAAAGCACAGATGGGAAGTAGTGGCTCTGACTCATTCCCCTGTGATCCAGATCATTGCCCAGCACCCCAGACCTGCTCTGGATGGAAAGAGGAGCTCAGAGGTCCCCCTGTCGAAGGAGTTCCAGGGGCCAGGACTCGTGTCAATCTGCAAACTGGCCGTATCCTTCTGTGACAAGATAAGTGTGGAAATGGAAGTGTTTAGAAATTTTTATAGCAATTTGATAGAGTACTTTTAGATGTGTTGAACCTAATAATAGGAAATTGGGGCTCCTATTTTGTATGTCTTTTTTTGGTTTCATTTTTCTAGAAGAATGGGTACAAAAGGTCTTGATGGACTAGAGCTCTGCCTCCCAGTCTCAGCAAGCTCTCTTCTTCCTCTGCTTGCTTGTGGGCTTCTCTGCTTGGGAGAAGAGGTGTCCCAGACTTGAGTCACTTGGGAAAAGCCCACTGAGTTTGCCTCAGTGGCCTTTTCTCTGTCTCCTACTTTTCCCAATCAGGAATCTAATGTTTAACTTTCACTACTTAAGACAGTGGGGTTGATTTCCATGCCTCTCACTGTGGGGGTGAGAACAGGGTTAGTGACAGCCCCAAGGTACTCCCCCCACTTGCTGGAAAGAGTTTGAGGAGTGACTCCACAGTCACTCCCTGGCATGAGTGATTGTGTCTTACTCTTCTTTGTCCCCCATAGCAGCTGGCACTTACTTGGTAGTCTATAAAAAATATCCTTTTATTTTTCTAGGAAGCAGAGAGGAAGGTAGTGAGTGTTTTGTGTGCAAACTGTGTTTGCTCCTGCTCAGATTCTCTAAAGATCTTATAGTTTCTGTAAATGAAATTGAGGATTTAAGAAAAGTCCTCAGCTCCAAGATTTAGGAGGCCTGGGCTTTGGGCACTAATTCATTGTGGGACCTTGGGCAAGCTATTTACCACCACGTGGACTCAGTTTCTTTATCTGTAAAGTGAGGGAGTGGGGAAAATGTTGAAAATTGACTCCTAAAGACTTTCCCAGCTCTCTTACATGTTGTAATCCTAATTTTAAGATTTACAGAATTTATCAATTCCAGAGGTGATTGTAGGCCAGAAATCTTTTCTTCCGCAGCTGTGAGCATGGGAATCATCTTATACATCTTTGAATCCTGCAGTTGGCCATGAGGCAGACCTTTAAGATGGATACCTAGAGGATAACCAATGCCTTCTGCAGAGTCCTGTGGGGTCTGTCTACATAAGAACCCTGTGCTGGACTGACCAAGGGCCTTCACTCTGAGTCTGCAAGTCATTAAATCATTTCTAGCCGATCTATGCATCAATTTCTTTAACCACAGCTCTAGTATTTAATTAGTTTTTGTTTTTGGTTTTTTGAGACAGGGTCTCCCTCTGTCACCCAGCTGGAGTGCAGTGGCATGATAATAGCTCACTGCAGCTTGGAACTCCTGGCCTCAGCCTCCCAAACTGCTGGGATTACAGGCATGCACCACTGCACGCAGACTATTATCTCATTCATTTTAAAGTAATGATCCAACTCTTGGTTTCTCTCTTCCAGGAATGGAAATCTGCAGCTGAAGACCAGAGCAGAAGATGACAGTGGAGATGGATGAGCCTCTGGCAAGATGGATGGGATGGTGGTTTCTCTGAAGCAGTGGTGTGTTGGTAAAAGATTAACAACCGGCTTTGGAATGGCAGGAACCCAATTGGTAGTGTTTGCTGATTTCCATGGTATAAGTATTTCCTCCATGGCTGACTTCAAACTACCAATGTGGACTTGGGAAGAAACGTACAGTAGCATATCATACATTATCCTACCATATAGATATAATGTATATAAATAACCTTGAGTATAAATGATAATAAAACATAGCAAAAAAAATTAGGAGGTAAAAAAAAATTAGGAGGTAATGAACTTTGAATATTTTTCCTTGTTTTGAATATAATTTTTAAAGTTCATGTAATGTCATTTTTAATAATGGCTGTGTTTAACAACCAGTTTGCGAAGTGCCTAAAATATAACAATCAGCTCTCAGGACTGGTACAAGCCACCTCCAGCACACCCTTGGAACCCAGTGTCCTCCCTCTAGGCCACTGTGAGATAAAGGGCAAAAGATTTCCCTGTGAGATTCAGTACCAAATAATTGTTTCAGTTAGGCGCAAGGCTTTAACTCTTGCTGAGCCTTAGGTCTTCCTACCTGCCTTCAAGGAGCTTAGTACCTAGTAAATAGGAGATAAGGTGTGTGTCTGCCTACAATGCCTTGCAGAAAGTGTAAGTGGATACAAGGAGTAAGAGCGTGCACCTCAGGAGAGGTATTTCTAGAGCAAGAAAGGACGGAGAACCAGGTAATCCTGAAGTCCCCTTCCACCTGTGATGTTCTACTGTGATGAGATTCCCTGAGTCCCAGGGAAGCACTGGGGGCTAAAATCAATGAAGAATGAATCAGAGTCACCCTTCCTGTGCCCAGCTTCGGGAAATCGAGAAGCCATTCATGAAACCATAGGGTGTCTGAGGTAGAGTCCCATTTTACAAGGAGGCAGCTGAGACCCAGAGAAAGGGGACTTGCTCAGGGTCACACAGTGATCTGGGGCCAAGAAAGCGTGGATCCCAAAACCATCCTGGTTTTGCCCGGGATTGAGAGCTCTCCTGTGGTGTGGGGCTTTCAGTGCTAAAACCGGGAGAGTCTAGAGCCCCTGGGATGGTTGGTCACCCTACAACAAAGGTTGTTTCCTAGGCCAGTGCTTCTTTCCAAATGTGCACTCTCACTAAACTCCCCAAATCCTGGGCTCCCCCACATTTCTTTCACAGGCTCCTTGCAGGGCTCTGAGCCTCCGGGGGCTGCTGAGACGGTGGAGCAAGTCAGGGAAGAGACAGGGGGGAGTGGAGAGGGGGCGGAGGTGACTGGAGAATGCCAGAAGACAAAGAGATAGGATTTCTGACTTTTTACACTTCTCTGCTAATTAGATAAGGGAGTGGGGAAGGGGGAGAATGAGCCTCCATGCATATTCTTCTGAGTTGTGACACTGAGCAGAGCTGGTCTCCACCCCTTCTCCCTGGAAGCTTCCCACCCCCTGGGGACACTTGACTCCCAGTCCAAATGCCACAGCTGCTTGAGCTCCTGACCCTCCCTTTGGCCCCCTCAATTTAGGCTCAATGACTTGCCAAGTTCCCCAACAGTATGCCCAGGGAAGAAAGAAGGGAATGGTTCAGTTTTCCCTTTCAGATCCAGGGTTCCAGGTTAGGGAAGGGAAACAGGAGATGCCCCTGTGTGGAAAATGGGAGCGGCTATGGTCTGTTGAACACATGGGCCTATGAGACCAGGTACATAAGGGAAGACCAGTCTGCGAGCCATGACTAGTCTGTTCCACTTGAGAAGGTGGAAGCTGCCTGGGGCTAGGCCTTGTCGATCCCAACCACACGGGGATCTCCCCAAGGATAAGGGCATGTTTCTCCCATCAGACTGAGACTACGTCTTCATCATCAGCCTAGGAATGGCTGGAGTTGGAGGGCTCGTCCAAGGAGAGATTTCAGTTGGCTAAAACCTCTTCCTTATATTTTTTATTCCCTCGCTGTTCTAAACGCCCACCTCCGGGCACTAGATAGGACACAGAAGTTCTCAATTAATATTTCTTGAGGAAGAAAGTATGGAGCTGTGGTATTTTACTAGTTTTCAGCAAATTATGCATCTATACATCCAATTGTGTGTGTGTGTGTGTGTGTGTGTGTGTGTGTGTGTGTATGTGTGTTTTATACCTCTAGCGATCTGAAGATTATGAAAAAAAAATTTACCTACCGAGTTCATGCCAGTACTCAATACTTACGGGTCCAAGATGAATTAGGAGATGTTTTTTTTTTCCTGGAGCAGCTCTCAGTCTGGTCTGAGAAAGAGAAGTTTAAACAATTTACAACTATACAGTGAGATAAGGAACTTTGGAAAGATTGGAACAGCGTGGGGCTAAATGAAGAAATGCCACTGAAGACTTCTGGTTGAGACCTGCCATCTGGTGGCAGTGAGTGGTACAACAGGCTCTTTGTTGTCAGGATGTGGGACTCAGTACTGGAATTTTAGCCTTTATTGAGAACCTGCCTAATGGATAGCCAGCCTGGCGGTTGACACTGAGGTGGGCATACAGTAAAGCTTATAAATGATCTTTGTCCTTGAAAAACTTGCAGTGTGCTTATGGATATAA